AGATTATTATTATCATGAGAATTCATAATATTATGACTTTAACCTCATAGTGTTATGACTTTATTCTCATAATTTTGACTTTATTCTCATAATATTATGAATTTATTCTAATGATATTATGTTAATCTCATAACTTTATAGATTATTATTATCATGAGAATTCATAATATTATGACTTTAACCTCATAGTGTTATGACTTTATTCTCATAATTTTGACTTTATTCTCATAATATTATGAATTTATTCTAATGATATTATGTTAATCTCATAACTTTATAGATTAAAGTCATAATATTATGAATTCTCATGATAATAATAATCTATAAAGTTATGAGATTAACATAATATCATTAGAATAAATTGATAATATTATGAGAATAAAGTCAAAATTCTGAGAATAAAGTCATAAAACAATGAGATTAAAGTCAACATTATAAGAATGAAGTCTTAAAATTATTAGAAAAAAAGCCATAATTCTATGACGGCTTTATTCTCAAACGACTTTATTTTTGTAATAAAAAAATAATCTCGTGTGGCCTTAATACTCTGTCATAAAAGACAGCTGCACTGTAAAGGATAAAAAAAGAAGTAGTTTTTTTTTCTTTGTATTTTATCCTGAATGATTTATTCTCTGACAAAGACAGAACTGAGAGTGTTTCTGTCCAACAAACACACGAGCAGCTTGTTCTTACATACAGACGCTCAGCCTCGCCTGCATCCCTCACGCCGTTTCTTCTCTATTTAATTAACGGCCGAGGATGGAGACGGCTCGGAGGCCTTTAATCAGACTYGTTAAACCGTGTCTCCACGTGTTAACGAGTCTGTCAGCACTTCATTTGCTGCTCCGGGACGGCAACGTGAGCCACGTGGCCGAGGGGCGCACGCCAGCAGTGACCCCCAGCAGGACACGCGTGTTGTGCGCTGAACTCCAGCATGTGTGTGTGTCTGTGTGTCTGTGTGTGAGTGTGCGCCTCTGACTCACATCCAATTAACACGACTGAGCAAACGTGCCGAGTCTGAAACGAGAAGAGCGTTTACGGTTGAAACCGAAGCCGCATGTTGATAATAAATTAACCAGAAACTGTTTTCAGTCCCAACTTGTTTGTGTGATTTTGTAAATGCTGAGTCAGCTTTAACCCACCTGCTGTCTTTGTTTTAAAACATTTCGACCCTATAGGGCGGCAGGAGTTTAAACCCAGACTAGATTTTTATTAAAACTTCAAGAATAGAAAAAAAAGTGACCCATCACTGAGGATTAAGTCCCAAAGTGGTGAGTGGAGAAACAGGTCACTTATAGTGCATTAAAACATTTGCAATAAGTGCATTTTGTCAAAAATAATCAATAAATACGTCATCATTGGATCATTTGAATGCAATATCCAAAATATAATCTTAAAGACTTATTTGAAGCTGTTTTTTGAGCGTTAGCAACAAAAACGCGATTTTGAGCAAAACCAAATATCAGTGAGTTATCCTGATTAAGACAAACTAAAGTGTTTTGACCAAATTTGACTTACCGTATTTATTCATATATAATACGATCTCATGTATAATACGACCCCATCCCCCCTTTTTTAGCTTAAAAAGCATAAAAAATTTAATCCTCAAACTACCTCCAATTTCATACAGACTTCAAGATTTTTCAGTCTTTGCAGTCTTTATACATATCAGTAAAATGATCATTGGACTGTTCATTTTATTTTAACAACATATGTACTAAAAGGTATTTTGACAACAAATATATATCAGCTGTATCAGCATCATATGAATTCTGGCATTTTACACATAGTCCACCAGGAGGTGCCAACACAAAAGTCAGAGACTTCACATGAGATTTGGACCATCTTGTGGGGGAAAAGCAGATTACTTCCTACTCGCGAGCGCCCCCTCTGGTGGGGAAACTTTTTTTCAGGGATACAAACTTTTTCAGAACACCGGTAGACGGCAGCCATTACAGACGAACGTGTTTGTTGTTGTTCGAGGAGCGGCTCGGTCACACACTAATGTCTTTAGTTCGTTATCATTACTGAGCTGCAGGACTGCCTTTTTCACATCATGTCTCCTGCCTGGATCTGTTATTATCTCGCTCTGAAGCACAGAGGAGTGTCAGAGGTGAGCTCGTTTCAACTGCTTTTTACGTCGTGGTCTCATTTCAGGACTCAATAATTTTGTGAATGAAGCCAATATTTCAGTTAAAATACATTAGTAAAAATATTTATCCGAGTATAGTACT